AGTCATTTTGTTTACAAAGAAATGGTGTGCTATGCGCATGCGCTAGTAGAGGGAAATCCCTGAACAAAACGTTGGTCAGACAGGTAGAAATACCGATGATTTTCTTAGATTTAATCATTTTTATGAATCTATTTCAGCCAAATCCGATCGTTATTTTCCATAAGGAGTCTCACTTGATATGTTTATGTAGTATTTGAAAAAAAGACAAAAAATAAAGTTACTTCACCGTGATGCCCCTTTAATCTATGAAGAGTATTTGATTCTACCATATCTGGGTCTTGAGAAGATTTTTGAAATTTTAGTCAATTTGACCCTTTTTTGGCCCCGCCCCTCAGGCCCCTGGGGGCTGGGGACCAAACCGGCCACTATTTTTGTTGATCTTTGGCCATGGAAGGTTTCTGCAAAATTTCATTGAAATTGGTTCAGGGGGTTTGGAGAAGAAGTCAAACATGTAAATTTGTTTACGGACGCAAGATGGATGACGACGGACAAAAGGCGATCGCAATAGGTCACTTGAGACTTTGTCTCAGGTGACCTAATAAAAATCAATTATATCTGCAAAAAATGTTTTGTTTTTATTTCCTACAAAGATCTAAAAATAAAAAGATAAACAATGCAGTTGTTACAGTAATCGGTGAAAGCCAGGATTTGTTCGATACATTTGTAAATGTTGTCTCCACCTGAAAACGACGTTACGCCGCGACGCCGTAAAAAAGGCTCACACTTAACCAGTGGAGGGAGACCTCCCACACTGGCCTCCTTAGAGGTTGGCAACCCTGGATTATCAATTTTATCTTGTACACAATGAACATTTCAAACGCATCACAATATGTCAAGAAAGACTGCAGGTCCCTTTATCAAGCTTTAATTGAGCAAGAAATTTGTATGTTTTTATTTTTCGCTTTACTTGAGCGCAACACGTAAACAGGCAAACTATCAGCGCATACTTTCTTTTATTCTTGCTATTATCATGTTCTCTACATAAAAATGGAAGCTTCAACTATTCCTTTCATAAATTTATGCCAGAGAACTTATTCCACGCTGTATTTTCTACAGAAATTGTGTTTAACAGTATGTAGTCAATTAATTCAGGCCAGGAAAAGACGCTTGCAAATAATCTCGGGGCCAGAATACCCATCATGCAATATAATTCAGTAACGAAAGTGTTAAGGGAAAAAGCCGGCACAACACAAAAGGTGATAGAGTAGTTTGGGAGTTGTCACATAATAGCTACTGATTTGAATAATATTGTTTGGAATTGAGAAAAAGTACAGTAAAACTTTGTTTTACAGCGAAATTTGGGCGTATTTGATTCACCCCTGAAGACACATTTGAACTCTAACAATTCAAAGGTTGGAATAATACTTTATGAAATTTCAGGGGTGTATGAATTTTTCCAATTCAAAGGTTGGAATAGGCCTAGTACATCATGAAATTTCAGGGGTGAATGACGCGCGCGGTTAAATTACATCACTGATCTGGGTCAATTGAGAGTTTTAGACGGTCAGGTGACGATTTAGGATTTCTTTAATATAATTAAATTTTACTCTTAGGGAGTGAATTTCAGCAAAATTTGAATCGGTTTATTTCATAAGGTATTTTAAACATGTGTTGCCATTTTAGCAAATATGACATTTTTTCCCCGACCAGCCCCTTTAAATAATTAAAAACACAACTCTTCCTCTGCACGATTTTCTCACATGACGTGTCAAGGCAAAAATATAATGGAAGGCATGCTCGTTTTCTTATCGGAATTTGTGTCAGAAAATCTCGGTAGGTTAACGGAGCCATGAAAGAGATGATTATAATCAGGTTGGCCTAATCATTTCCATTTCATACAGTCCTACAATGTATTTTAGATAGCAATTGACTACGGCACATGTTTTGTTATGACTCAAAAGCGATGGTCAATCTATTGTTTTTCAATGACAGGGGTGAAGTGAGGCATTACAATTTTACCTGGAGTGGACAATTGATCACCTCGGGCGTTGTAAAGTTAGCCTGACCTATGGTTCAATTGTCCTGGTGTCAAACACTGACAACTTACCTGAGTTTTTACCTTATAAAATCCATTAACGACAGAAAAATATATCATAATAAGCGGGGTCCAACCTTTGACCATATCATAATAAACAATTTGTTTTGCTTAGTTAAAGGATAAAAATCGGTACATGGGAAAAGAATTATGATAAGCGACATCATAATAAGTAGGTTCCACTCTAGTACAAACAAATCCTATAATATAGCAGAGACGTATAAATACAGAGATTGGCAACTCTCGCTGATCTCGCAAAATCACGCATGATCTACGAGTGTTTGTTTTGACAGCTTATCGACCTGGTGACGATAGTCTGGTCAGTGAGTTACCTGTGTGAGAGTTCGATCGTGTATTCGTTAGTTCGTGTCAACATGTCACTTATCCTAGATATATGGATCATATAAAGAAGCTGGTTAGAAATATAATGTTATATCTGAATACGTTTTTGAAATAAAAAGATGAACGAGAAAGGAGTGCCGGTGTCATGAAAGGAATTAACTCTCGCACATCACAGCCGCCATTTTCACATGGTTATTTTAAAGTGTATTTTCAGAGCTCAATTATCAAACTTTGCAGGTATTGTAACAACCTCATTTTAATTTCCTGGTTAGAAATATTATCATATAACTAATTTCTGAAAACTTTTTTGAAATTGTCTAAAGAAAAAAAACGGAGATAGTGTTCAAAATTTGTCATGATAGAAATAACCCTCAAAATCAGAGCCGCCATTTTAACTTGATTTCTCAGAAAAACCTGTCTTTTCACAGCTGAATTATGAAACTTTGCAAGTATTGTAACAACCTCATTTAAATTTCCTGGTTTGAAATATTATCATATAATTAATTTCTGAGAACTTTTTTGAAATTGTCTAAAGAACAAAAACGGAAATAGTGTTATCCTGAAGCCAGAATAATTACCGATATGTAAACACAGCCACGATGTGCAATCTTTCGATGTTTGGGGTTTTCTAAACTTAATCATTCAAGTTTACATTCAATGTAGCACTCCCAAACCGCATGGAGATCTCAGCTACATGTTGTAGCTACGTACGGTTTTAATGTTACGTTGATTTGCGATGTTTTCTCATGGCATAATTATGATTTGAGTTGAATGCAGCGAACCGCATATCCAATATGGCGCAGGTGAAGCATAACTCTCGATACCAGTGACCAATGGTAAGGCCAAGAGCAAGTTGCCAATCTCTGTATTATACGTCTCGGAATATAGCAATGATATATTTTCACAACATAAAAGAGTTAACAGGAACACTGCGTTTTTAAATTGAATAAATGTGTAACAAACACATGATAAAAAGGTGTGCATAACACTGCGTTATTAATTGGATAAATGTGTAACAAGTTCGTAACAAACCAACCTGTCAAGCTTGTACACACCACATATCATGTTTCAATATATATAGTATTGATAAAATAACTGATTTACACGTTTGATAGAGAAAACATCGCACTCCATCTTTTGCCGGTCAGAAAATGGTGCGATTCCCTCTGACTCACAAATATGGTTCAACCCTACAAATGTGAATGAATGAAATCCATACAAGGAGATATCAGCTACCATATAAGGACAGAAAGACCATATATAGTCATAGATGGCGTGTGTGTAGAAAATGCAGTTCCACGTTAAGCAAATTTCATAGTATGCGCGATCCCCTAGACACTTGCGTTACCCAACACATGTGTCAAAAACGCTCCACCAGCTCCACTCTCTCATCTATGAGTGTCGGTACAGAAACGATGGCTATCGTTCCTAGAAATGTAGGTCAAATTTCTCGTCTCCCAAATATTACATCAACAGTCACTCGGTCGACAAGCGATTTATACACATCCTACATGTCATATGTACAAACCTCTGGTTTGCTTACAAACAGCAATTTCAATAACTGCGTATTCAACTTCCACCAGGCCTAGGCTAGTCACTATAGCTCGACGACATGAAAGCACTCTATTTCCCGCCTTTGGGCGCATCACTTTTAAAAAATGGACGTCCGCGGTCATTAGTATTTTCTAATAAGTATTTTGCCCCAGTACCCCAATTTCATACAAATATAAAATTATTTATTCCATTACCTACTACTACAATTATGAAGATATTGTAGGAGAGTTAAATATGGATATTTTATGCGAATAAAAAAATATTGAAATGGAGGAACTTTTTTTATTTGTTGTCACGGATAAAGTGGGCGGGGTTTAGCTGTCTGTCAACGGCTTTTGCGAATGGATTAACACGTCAAAATAATTTTGAACGCAGATTACACAAGGTAAATGTTTGTATCCGCCTCTTTTAATAGTGTTATTGTTAAAAGAAAATATTGTAATATAAGGATTAACCTTTTATTTTGTTTAGTTTATGAGATAATACGATTCCTTCCGAAATTTCAACTGTTTTCTGCCGATATGAGTGCGAAATCGCGGATGCTTCTTAAAACCCGAGGATACTATTGTTATCATTACAAACAACTTTCATTTCTAAACCAGCAGTCAGTCGAGGGACGATAAACGAGTTGAAGCAACACGGCTGGGGGACCTGTATCGTGATACTGCTTTTTGTCATTTTACACACACAAAAGAGTGGAGAAAAAAAATGAGATTAATTGATCACAAAACTTCGCCATGGAAATTGAAACACTATAAAACGCTTATAAAAACCGACCTAGTGGAATATTAGCATTATTCTACTCACGATTTCTGACTAATTATTTGGAATCAAGCAGGTTTATTTTCCGTTTCGTTTACAATTAACGAAGGTGGACACAGGTTTTTACCACACTTTTGTTTTCCTTGGTGTCGACAAACATGCCATGCGTTCCGGGCCTTAAAAGTATATTGTCAATGTCAAGTAATACGTCAACGTTTCCGTGGACACGAGCATTATTTGTCACAAGGATATCATTTTACCACACGTAAATTGCACAGGTGAAAAACGGCACCTGAAGGTTGGCTCGAGCAGACGCGCCGTGCCATTTCGTCCCTTTGCCGTGTACAGTCTACGCAAGTGTGACAGGTCCACTGTCGCCTAACACAGGGCTTTATATTCATGCAAAATTTGAACCTATTATTTTAATGGTTATGATACCAGGCCAGAACAATACGTTAAATAGGCTTTTTTTACCTTCATTCACATATTCTTAGTAATTTTACCTATCTGATATTATTTTGTATTTTAGTAAAAACGATAGTGTCTTGAACAAATAAGTATGTTTTCCATCTTTCATAGTTTAATTTTTTTCTGTGGGCAAAATTAAAAACAGAAAAAGTTGTTAACCACGCGCCATGCTATGGTAAAACTACTGATATTTCCCCATCCGGACAAACTTTTCATGTGTTATATTGGATAATTCCGTGATTTCTAACAGCGGTAAAAAAAAATGGGGTTGTGATTTTAGACGGGACCATTGTGAGATTTTTTCCACGTCACATGTCCCGAGTGCCAACATTTGATTTAGGAAAAAAATTAAATATGAATGTCTTTATCGCGGTTCACTAAAATTATCAGAAGTATACGAAACCCAATATTGCAACTAAGCACTAAACAAATTTCTCAACAACATGTATGGGATCTAGTAGAGTTATTTAAATACTCAATATCTTGTGAGAATGAATTGGTTATATGTAAGATATGTGAGAAAACAAGTAAAGATATTGTGTTGCATTTTATATTAGAATGTCCAGGTTTATACTTAAGCCGTGATAAAATGATGGATGGTGTTGTAAATGCTATAGAAGTATTGTCATATGTACAGTTTTCAGAACTAAGCATTGAAGACCAGTGCAGCTTTTTACTTGGCGATCATTCACATGTATACTTGACTGATATAGAGTGGGAAACACTAATGATAAATATGGCTGGAAATATCAAAGGAATGGTATGTGAGATGGAGAGTTTTCTATAATTAACCTATTGATGTATATATAAGTGTAAACGTATATATGTAAAAGATGTATGAGGAATATATATTGTAGTGAACATTTTGTATCATGAATTATATAATGCTGTTATATGAATGTCCAATACGTCATTATTTAATACATTTACTTCTCAAAACGATGTTTATATATAAATTAAGACACATTTTGTAAAACTGTTTTGACATATGAAATCTCCTAAAGGAGGAAATAAAGAATGTCTGTCTGTCTGTCTGTCTGTCTGTCCCTGTGAACGAAACTGCAACGTCGAGAACAAATGTTTGGCGATAAAAATACGTTTATATAAAATCATAACAAAACTTACGTTTTTGAAAATCGTGATGGAGGACAGATGCAGACATACAATGCAATACTGCAACGAAACAGAGAACTCGGACAACCGACATCTTTGTCCCTTGAACTAATTATAATCAGAACTGAGCGCGTGCTAGTATATATAGACCCGTGCACGTGGCTCACGCCCGATTTCCGATTACTGGCAATCTTTCATCTGATTGGTTGTATCACAAATGGAGATGTATGATTGGTCAAAACTCGAGTCTTCTCGCCTATGCATGCTGCACGTGATGATCACCTCCATGCAAATCCTGTTTCACCTGTTTACAAGTTAGGTGCTATTGGGCCACAGCCAACCTATATACGTGTAAAGCCTGTACGTATACCATTTAAAATTCTATATCTAAGTGACTGTCCCGGCCGTTAAATCCGTACGTCAAGACATACGTTTTCCACAGACACATATTTGAACATTGCTTTTTAGCTCACCTGGCCCGAAGGGCCATGTGAGCTTATCCCATGGTGCAGCGTCCGTCGTCCGTCGTCCGGCGTCCGTCAACTTTTTCCTTTAAAATGCTACTTGTCCTGAATGGCTCAGAGGATTTTGACCAAATTTGGTCAGGAGCATCATTGGCCAAAGGGTTCTCAGTTTTGTATAAACGGAGGGTATAACCCCCCTGGGGGCAGAGGGGCGGGGCCAAATAGGGGGAAAATAGGTAAATCTTTAAAAATCTTCTTCTTCTCAACCAATAGAAG